GTCAATAGGGGAAGATACCTCTGAGGTTCTTTTGAGGGATTTTTAAAAACTTTTCTCCTAATTTCAGTCCTGTATTAGTTTAATAGGGCTGCCATAACAAAGTGTCTCAGAATGGGTAAGGTAAACAATAGAAATTTATTTTTCTGCAACTATGGAGGCTTAGCTGTCCAAGATCATGGCATTGATAGGGTTGGATTCTTCTGATGCCTCTCTCCTTGGTTTGTAGTTGGCGGTCTTCTCCCTGTGTCTCAATGATTTTTCCTCTGCCTCCTTCTCTGCCTTGATTGAACCTAGGCCATTGTACATGCTGGGAAAACACTACGGCTGAACTGTACTCCCGCCCCTCTGTGTGTCTCTTTTTATGTAAGAGTTATATGATTTACCCTAGTGACCTTATTTTAACTTAATTTATTTTCTAAATAGCCTATGTCCAAAAACAGTGACATTCTGGAGGATTAGGATTTCAACATATGGAGAGTGAGAGATGACAAACTTCAGCTCACAATATCTACCTTCCTCTAAGTCAATTTAATTCCTATGAAGCCTTCCACAACTGCTCAGTCATCATTATTTTTTTTAATTGTACTAAAAGTTTAACACAAAGTTGAATGTAAGCATAACTAGTCATATTTTTTTCCCATTGCTTTTTTCCCCATTAGATTAAACATGACTGTAAGTTTCCTGGGGACAAGGAAAAGTGTGATATTCTTTTGATTTTCTCAGTGTAGTGAATCTTCACAATTGAAACTCTTAACATTGATGGAGGCTTTCAAAAAATATTTAATTCAGCCTCACTCATTTAAAACCCAGTTTTAACAACTGTTTACAGAAGCTTTCATGTTTTCTATTTGAATATTGATGGAAACACTTCAAAGGCAACCCATTATCTTGCCATACAAGTTTGGTATTTTTTTTCTTTTATTGAGTTTATTGGTACATTTTAGGTATACAATACAGTTACATTCGTTATTGGGATCTTGTACCTTTACATGACAGGTCTTGGTTCTCATTTTTTTCCCCTTGTCTGTGCCCTCCCTTCACCCCCTCCTCCCCTCCCCATTTACAAACATTTTATTTCCATTTTTTACTTTTGTCATATTTTTTTCTTTTCCCTTATTTCCTTTCCCCTACCCTTCCCATTTTCCCTACACCTTTAGCCCTTTTCTTCCTATTTCACATGGTCAATTATCTCATTAGGATCTTATGTATTATTATAGCTTTTCACACCAGAGAAACTATTTGGTACATTTTAATAATTGACAACTTGTAGGGGTGACTTCACTTGTTTGAATCATGTGGCAATGCAGATGAAGGTGACTTGGTGGGATGGGGTTGGAAAAGAATGTTAAAAAAATTCATCCCCAAATTGGTTATAAAGATATAAGGCAAAAGACGGTCACATGTCCTTTTTTATAATGTTAAAAGCATTTTTAAATAAGCCCACCCTAAGGTCAACTAACTACAGGTATGTAACTTTTTTGCATAATTGATTATTGTTATAGATATTACTAACTACATTGATTAACCCTTTTCAGGGTTATGGTTTTATTGCCTTTTATAATGTTAACCAGTTTCGTATCTAAGGGCATCTTAACATTTAAAAAATTTACTGGCAATTGTAAAGGTACAAGATCCCAATGATGAATGTAACTATTGTATACCTAAAATGTACCAATAAGCTTAATGAAAAGAATGAAAGGTTTTTAATATTTTATTTTGAATTAACTTTGTCCTTATTGAAAATAAAATATTGATTTGTGTTAACCTATTTATGAGAAGGGTTTTTTAGAAATTTAAGGTTTATACTTTGATGTGAACATAAAAATAAAAATATAAATATATGGTGTATCAAAATTTTTGGAGAAAAAGCAGGAGAAAGTGCAGCAGGTGTGGAGGTGGTGGTTGTCAGTCATCAGTATGATGCTCTTTGGAACTCATTTCCTAGTGGGCCTTCTATACTTAGAGGGGCAGGCACCTGGGTTTAAAGGAAGAAACAAACAACTCAAACAGAAGGTAGAGAAATTTTTCCTGGGGAAATGTTGAGGAGGTGAAGTATGAGCAGTATTTACTGATGCTTGGGGAAATTCAGGGAAAGGGAAATTCCTAGTGGAGGGGCGGAAGAAAAAACGTCAGAAATTTGTTATAAGGAATATATTGTAAAATCTCTCTGTCCTCTATACTGAAATCTTCTGAAGGACTAATACTTTTGTGAAAATGAGGTATCTTTGGGTAGCCAAAGGATAAATTCTGTATCCAGATTCATGTTGGACAAAAACAGTGGCTGTATATAAGAAAATAGGAACCCAAGAAAGGCTAGGAACAGAGAGACAGTGGACTTCTACATTATGATAATCTCAGCTACATTTTTGAGCACTTACTTTGTATCAGCACTATGGACATACTTTCAAATATGTTGTTAATTAATCTTGCTTGATTTTAGGTCTATTTTTGACATTAAATTCTTTAAATTGATATCTCCCCATACTGTACTTGCAAAGATTATTTTACTGATATTCAAGTCTGTATACTTATCTCTGTTACCTTGCAAGTTAGAAATTTAAAATTGCCATTTGTTTAGTTCTAATATTTATTATATTAGGTAACAATTGTTCTGTTTCATTTTACAAAGTATGCATCTGTTAAACTATGTTCTTACTTTTCTCTATCTTGTGTTCCAAATATCAAGGTTTTCTCATTGGTTGAAATGAAGGTATAGTCAATTACACATTACAAGAGCCTGGGCTAGATCCAAGATCTTTTTCTTTTTTTTGACTAGTTATTAATTCAGAAAGCCACTAGTAAGGTTAAATATCCCAGATGGAGCCCAAATAAATAAACTTATAAGTTGTGGTCAATCATTTCACAGGAGACAGTGGGCAAGATCACTTAGTAAACATTTATTGAGTTCATGTGCCCATTTATACCCACCAGGACTCATAAATATAAACTGAGCTTGAATTATATGCTTCATTGATGAATCCTGAGCTGTGCTTTGACTAAGACCAACCAACTGCACCACCTACTAGCTATAGGCAGCCTTATGTAACCTATGGAACTTGAGAAGTCACTTGACCTCTTCACAAGATACAGAAAAGTAAGAACATAGTTTGCCCCCAGCTCTGGAAATGGTTCACATACATAAATGCCCCTCCCAACCTAAAATGAGTGGCCAAGCGCCACATTCCAAAAGCTCTCCAGAGGAGATGATTTCACAATATTCCCAGTAACCAACTGCAGTATTTCACAGTTGATTTCCTAATATCTAATCTGAATCTCTTCTGCTGAACTTTAAGCTCATTTCTTCTTTTTCCATTCTCAAAGGAGGTGGGAAACATCTGAAAAATATTTTAAAAATAGCTCACATATTTGAAATCTAATTAACTCCTTTTGTTTTTGTAACTAGAATAGTGTTAGCTGCTAAATAGTTTATAAAACAATGGGGAGAACTCTTAGAATGTAGAAAATACTAAAGTGCAAGTTTTTTCTTCCCACAATATGAAAGCATTGTTGTTTTCAGAGCAATGCTAGTTCCGACCTTAATAAGTCACCTACTCTGACTGGCATTATTTTCTTCATTTTCAGAATAAGAACTGTGGCTAAATACTTCAAGGTTCCTTCCAGTTCTAAAGTTTACTCATAACTGTGAATGTTTGAAGAATATGTATATGTTTATACTTAAATGAATTTATGGATTTAGGTGTTCAATCTTTTGCATGTCAGAAAGCTATATTCATCTCCTACTTTTAGTTACTTTTCAATATTTCAGTCTTCCTTTTTACAGCTGTGGATGGAATAAGGAGAGTTTGTACACCTCTCTGTAAATATTCCTCTGATACCTAACCAGAAATCAAATGAAGGATCAAGGCTCAAAGTTTAAGGCCAGAAAATTTGATGTATTTTTTTTTAAAGAAACACTATTCAAAGGTTAAATAAAAATGGAATGCTTGCTAAGGAATCTTTAAAAAGTGATTACAAATTGTAGTATATTCTTATGATGTGTTGAGTCAAAATTCTTACATTTTGTAAGTATAGTCTATGCCTCATGTAAAAATGAAAAATGAATACAAAACATGCACCTTGAGAATGGGAACGGTGAGTAGTTATGACACAGTCATGTTTCTGGTGCTACATTTTTCATTTTAAATGAAAAATTGAAAATCTGAATTCTAGAGGAAGCTCTGTAGTAAAATAAGTGATAGACTTTGCAAGAGTAAGTTCCTTATCATTCCATGGGCCTGGAGTGCACGGCAAGTAAATTCTTTCCTGATGTTCCAAGAAGGATCTTATAGCACTCTATATTTTTCATGTGAGCTTTAAGAAAGGCACATAGGTACCCACTCAATAATTTAATTAATATTTTATTTTTTGAATTACATTTATATAAGCATTTTCATGTGAGCATCTTTCTTCTCCATATTAGTGCATTTTTATAAAGAACATGATATAAAATAAAGACTTTTTCAGGTCTTTTCAAGGAAGAGATGTATAGGAAAATTTTATCTAATATAAACCATTAAACTGTATATTATAAAAATACTTGTTTAGAACAATAATCATGTGTTATGAAAAATAAGAATTTTATTAAACATTTTCTTCTCACACACTTTTGTATCACCTTGAACTCTTCTTCAGAACTATGGATTTACAAGTGAATTTCAACCAATGAGAAATCAGCAGTGTCCTTATGTTATGCTGTTAGAACTTGGTAGTTGTAGTTAAAATAGTTCTTTGTAAATACCATGGATTTATTGAATTTAATACAGTGATAAAATTAGACTCATTCTCAAAGTATCTCAGGTCATAGAAACTAGAGTATAATCGCATTAGGTAAAAAGACGAGCAGATAACTTACTTCCTGAATGGCCTTCACTTGGATCTTGAGCTCTAACGAGTCCTGGGGCAGTCTCAAGGCTTGGGAGAGAAGGGCAAGGAAGATGGGTTTGCTTAAGGATTCAACTTTGTAATTTCCCCATTTTCAGTAATTTTTTTGTGCCTTCTAGGTATTTCATTACTGCATGGCACCCAACTCAAGAAAATTGAAGAGTTTAGGTGAAATGCAAGTAAGTTAATGATATTTTTTACTACTAGATATTCTGATGAGAGTTTTGAAAATGGAGAAAGCTAAAATATAAAGTATAATGAATTGAGGTCGCAGTCAGCATGCTTCTTGGAAGCAATCGTGACAGGTCTTTACTACCACGGACTCTTGATTTCTGAGGATAGTGACAGATTACACAAGAGTTTCTTCACTGTGCCTTACTCTTTATGGAACTTTGTACTCCAGCAGTGTATCAAGAAGATTAAATGAGCAAGTCAATTTCCCTTTCTTTAGGGATAGGCCATTATGATTGTTTTGTATTTTTATGGGAAACTGTGAAATAAAAATTCACCAAGCCAGGGAATGAATCCCAGCCTAATCAACCTCTCCATGATACTAACCTATTTATTAATTAAATTACTATGTGGGTACATATGTACTTAAGAGTTTAGAGGTAAGGGGTAAAAAGCATAAAACAACCAACTGTTGACTTTTTCTCCCCACTTTTGGGCTGGTTATTTTTGGGGGGCCCACTTGTTGATATTTAGTTATGATTATTTGAGTCATATAATTGATATTAAAAGTCAAGCCCTAAGGCTTTTATCACACATGGGAAAAATGTTAAATCAACGGCACTTGGGAAAAAAATAATGAATAAATTTTCACCAAAATTGTCTCCTCTTACTCCATACCCACCTACATATAAATAGCAATCTCTGGTCAGAACAGTAATCCTACTAAAATTGCAGTATTTAGTCCTGGAAATTTATGAATTATAAAATTCAACAATTTCTTGGTCAATGAAAATGTAGATTTTTTTCCCCTCTGTTTTATGGGTCAAGAGCTGCAGAAATTCCACAGGACTGTTCTCAACAATGAATTTAAATTTAAAAGTTAATTCTCAAACTGGGACTAAGCCCAAAACACTAAATTGTAATAAATTGTGAGCAACAGAGAGGGCAGTCTCTAGAATCCACTGCTTTTTAACCGCAGCTCCACCTCAATAATTAGCCTACGTGGTAACATCCTGCCCTTTGAACACAGGCAAAGCACGGAGTGCAACCAAACCACAGCTATCTTGGTATTAGAAGTTCCATTTATTTAAAGGGTGGAATTTATTTTGAGGTGGTGAGATGGATGTGCTGTCTGAGAGGAAAAATCATATGGTTTTCACAGTTAATCCACTGAACATTTTTCACAGAAAAGAAGTGGAGAAAAAAATTACAAAGAATTATGTAAAAAGATATCAGATCTTGAGGCTACATCAGTAAAGGAAGCTGGAGCTATATAAGGAAATTTTTATGAGCAAAACCCTTTACAAGGCATAAGAATTCACACAAACATGGACTTTCACTGATAAACATGATTCACAAATATGAATTCTCAGGACTTTGAGTGTGAATAGGATTATGAATTGGAGATGAGAGTCAAGGTGTAATCTTCTCTGTAACCTCTGTCATATCCTTGTATTCCTTTAAGATCCTCTTCTTACTAAGGTACATAGTAATTCCCTTTTACTAAGGTAATTAATTGGATGGGATGGAAGCCCATGCTTGGAGAAATAGCGAGGGGCACGAATGAGTGATTGGAGCCAGGTGGCCAGTGTGGTGAATGAGAAACATCTGTGCTATCCAAAGGGGCGGTTGCCAAAAAGCTCACTTCCTACCAGTCATGGGAATGTGTGTTTAGTTTGGGTAGTTCTTCCAGTTTATCAAGAGAATTCAGAAATTAGGACACACTGTGAAATTTCTCCTCCTTTTCCCCCTTCCCCTCCTCCTTATTCTTTCTTTTTTAACGTTATGGGTAGGATGCAGCCTTCAGGCTGCTGGATACATTTGTTCAAGGTGGTTTCTAACATCTCTCATCCTAAATTTTTCTTTACTTCCTTATTTTGCTTAAATTTTTAAGTCCTGGAATTGTTTTTCTCCATTGTGTCAGCTGGTTACCTTAATCACCAAATTTGGCAATCTCGTATTGAAGTTTTAGGCACTATGGTTGTGGCTAGAGATATATTAAAAATAAAGTGAAACATGATTGACTCTTAAGAAGTTTGTAATCAATGGTTGAAAATAAGAAAGTAATTTAGTATTAGCACTTCGGTAAAGACAAAACAGACTTGGGTTGGGTGGGGTTTATTAGGTGTAAGGTCCTCAGAGACAGTATCAGAATTTCTTATTAAGGGAGTAAATGGGGGCTGCTCAACAGTTGAAGGGTATTCTTTGCCATTCATCAAAAATCGTCTAAATGCAGACATTGGACATCCAAATCAGTTAAAGCACAGAAAAACAATTTATCCTGATTCTATCACTTACTGTGTGATCTTTTTAACCTATTTGTGCCTGATTTCTTTATGATAAATTGGGTTGATGATAACATGACCGGTCTTAGGAGGTTGTTGGAAGGATTCAGGGTAAAGCAAATAATATGCTTAAAACAGTGCTTAGATACAGTAAGTACTCTGTGCTAGCTATTATTTAAATAAATAGAAGAAAAAAGTGAAGAAGAAAGAGGATAATGAGGATGGATAGAGGGGATCTTTATCACATATTCCATGACAAATTGCTTTATTTTGAAGAATTTGAAAGGTAACGATTTTTGTTTTCACTCTGCTCCTATTATGAAAATTAAGCTGACCAATTGCCTCCTTGGCTGAGATTCTAAAGAAAGGCAAGGTAAATGTAGCTTCTAATAAGTAGGTTAACACACATTGTGGTTGCTTCCCCACATGCTTGCTGTGTGCAAACACTATTTAAAAGGCTGGATCCCACCCCCCAGCTTTGCTTCCCTCAAAGACTGATCACTCCAGTGTTCTATACATTGACTGCAAAGAGCTGTAGCTTTGAAATTCAGAGAACAGAAGACATTTCCATGAGGTGATAGCACATCGGCCTTGTGAAAGTGATTGCAGATTTTAGGCTGTATTTTAGTGCTGAAAGAAGTAAAATCCACAAATAATAATAGCTATAAACTTTTAGGTCAGAATACAAATTAACTTGCAATTTTCTTAGAAGCTTGATTTTTCTGTGTGATATTTGGGCACTCGAGTAATAGTAATGTTGCTATAGTAAATTCCCTACACATAGGCCTCTACTTAATTCAAAAGCATATTGAGTTTTGTGTCTAAAAAAACTGACTTTTATAGTTAGTGTAAAGTAGTTACTTCAAATCCAAAATACCAAATAAATCCCAGCCATATTTAGCCATGAACACTTGTTTTAATATAAAGGTTAAATTCCCTCAAATTGAAGCAAATCTATAACGTTTTTGAAAAACAAATTCTTAGTCAAAATTTATAGGAACACCATATAAGGGACGGATACTGTGTAAGAGATCACTTAAGTGTCTGGAGAAATAAGATCAGAATTTTAACTGAGAATTCTCTTTGTACCTAATTCATAGTGGCACAAAGTAAGCTTGATAATTGGCTGTCAGATGAATATACAAATGGCACCATTTTCATCCTGTCCCCCTGCCTTTTCCAAATCTTAAAGATCTAAGGTGGGTGATGGCTACATCATGGCAACAGAACACTGAATCAGTGCTACTCTTCCTTCTACCTACTATTTCTATTATCTCTCTCCTAATTTTGTATCCTGGTGCCTGTTACCATCATACAAGAATGGAAAATCTCACATAATAGCTAGTCTTCCTTAAGAATAAATGAAGAGTATTATTTTTGATTTTACAAGCTGTGTAAAAAATAGAAAAGAAATGGTTAATGGTAAAAGAATTGAGATTGCTGATAATTTTTATTCATCTGAACAATGTTTGTAAGATTGTCATAGAATTGGTTTAGGCTGAGTAGCAGTATCATAAAGGCATTTTTCTAGGTTCCCAGTCTGATATTCAGTTAAGGACTTCAGATCTCAAGTGACAATGTCTGAATTTCTCTCCATCTACCAAAAACTCTGAGATACTATTTTCATAGAACCAAGAGTGTTGGACTAAGTGATCTCTAATGTTACCATCTCAGTCCTTTTTGTTGTTTTTTAATCATGCCAGAAACCAGAAGGAATCAGACAATAGATTGTGGATTCAAGTACTAACATGAATGCTGAGAAGGGTGAGGAGAGATGAACATTTTATTGTTTCATATTAATAAGAACTCTGAATCACTCTTTGCAAAGTACCATGATTCTTTACCCTGTGATTGTCTGTTTTTTGGGACATATCTTTGCTATGAATTTCTGTCTCCCAGCTGTGGAAACCAGCCAAGAATACATTATTGACCACCTGCTCACTTTCTTACACACGACGATTCCCCAGACTTATTTTCTTTGCTTTCTCTTCCTACTGGTTTATGGGTTTCCCTTATGTAGCAATAAAACTCTTGGAGAGTCCTCTTAGGGATAAATTAATGCCGCTTAAGTAGATTTCCGTTAGCTGCTCTTTGATGGTTCTGTTTAAAAATAAAGGGAGAGCTGGGGCAGTTTAGTCCTTATTGAAATTTTCCTTCCCTTTGCTTTAAAGTCACCACTCCTCAGAAACACTTAGTTACACTCCAAGAGAGCTTTGTTAACACTGAAAAAATGTCTGGGAAATATTGTCAGAAGACAAACTCACCATCTTTTAGTAATTTTTTCCCCCATTGGCAAGGTATCTGCATTATGAAGAGACCCAGCTCAGCCTGTGTGAGCTTTTCTTGTATTCCTTTAAATACCAGAAAGTGTGTCTGAATTCTAGAAGAGCAGAATGTGATCTTGTTCTCTACCCTAATAGCAAACAGATTAAGGATCTGTTGTCACGATCCTATTTCAACTCTGAGTAGTCTGCAATTCATTTTTACATTCCTTATATTTTATATATTATTAATTCATCTGAATCTTGTATTTAATTTTTGTTTTCTTTGGGACAGAACATCTTATAGGGTTTAATTTCTTCTCACACTCCTACCCCTGAGAGTTGGAAATTACTAGTTTCTGTCTTGAACTTGCCACTGGCCTCTGTGTAGCCAATGTTAAATCATTGCTTCCTTAGGGTTCCAGCTTCTCTGTTGTAACACAGTAATAGAATCTGGATATG